CCCCAACAAATCTCTTGTGTGAGGTTTGGTACACAGTGTGACTTTGTGGTGCTCCCTGGCTTCCCAGTGGAAGCTACCCCTGTGCTGGAAAACCAGTTCCCAGAACCCACATAAAAAGCCAGGTGTGGTGATTGACACCTGTAATCTCAGTTCTGGGGAAACAGAAGCTTGTCTGGCAGCCACTCTGGCCAATCAGTGAGTTCCAGGTTCAGTGAGCGATTCTGTCTCAAAATAAAATGAAAAGAAATGGAAGAAGGCACCGGATGCTGGCCTCTGACCATGACATGCATGTGTGCACATGGCTCCACACACAATAAACAAACAAACAACAAACAAACAGGAATCTTTCTACACTCGGAAGACTTAAAGCACTGCTATACTGCCTTCGTGTGATGGTCTTCCATGCATATGGGACTTAACCAGAGGCAACATCAGGAGACTCTACAGACTAGTTCCTCGGGTGGGACCCAACTCTCAGGGGCTTGACAAACACCTGTAAGTCCGGTACCCATGTCAGTGTCAGGGCCACTACCTTGGACAATGGCCACCATGTGCAGGTGGAAAGAAAGGCTTGGTCACATCGTCCCCTGCTGTTGGGGGGGGGGACTCCCACACTCAATGGAGCGCCATCTCTGGTGGACAACAGGGGAGGTCACTCTGTGGATCCTGCTGCTGCTCAATCTCCTCTCCTACCTCCACACCAAGTTTGGACATAGAAGAAGTATGTTTAGAGTGGCACACTAAGTCAAGGTGAGGGTGGACACAGGGGACTCCTGAGGGCTCCTTTCAGTACACACATTTCATTTGTTTTACATTATTTTTAGACACACGTATCACTCTCCAGAGCAAGCCATCAGGTTATGAAAATGAACTGGAAGTGGGGAGCAAACATGAGTTAAGTTCACGTGAGTTATTCAGTCCTCTAACAATAAGGTTGTCATATTTTTCAAATAAGGCAAATTGATGTGTGTGTGTGTGTGTGTGTGTGTCTGTGTCTGTGTCTGTGTGTGTGTAGTATATGTGCATGTTTATATGCAGGTGCACATGCCTGTGCATGTACAAAACCTGAGGAGGTCATCCCTCTATCACTGTCCACCTCAGTCCTTTGAGACAGGGTCTCTCACTGAACGTGGGGCTAGGCCGGCAGCCATTGAGCCCCAGCCATCCTGTTTCTGCCCGCCCATCCTGTTAGTGTTGGGGTTACAGGTTTGTGCCTCAGCTGCACCTGGCTTCTTTACGTGGGTTCCAGGATCCAAACTCAGGTCTTCCTGCTTACACAGCAAGTGCTCTTACCCATGAGTGATCTCTCCAGCCCCTTAAATGGCAGGAGATGGAACAGATTTAACTGCAGGGCTGAACCACTAGACCCATGTCTATACCCCCCATCCCCACATTCACAGTTATTTGTGAGGTTTCTGGAAACACATCCCCTTCTTAAACAGGAGGTTTAACACCAGAGAGCACAAGTCAGGGGTGGATTTCTGGAGCTGAGATGGGTGTGCGGCTGAGCATTGAGGAAGATCCTGTGGGTTCCAGAGTAACACACAGAAGGAGTGGAAGTCATTTTCATGCTAATGAGCAGACCGCAGCGGTGGCTTGCAGAACCACCACCGGCCCTGCAGCACACTCACACTCTCTCTCTCTCTCTCTCTCTCTCTCTCTCTCTCTCTCTCTCTCTCTCTCTCTCCATCTTTCCTACTGTTTTTTTTCTTTCTTTCTCAGATTCAGTTATTTTATGTATATGAGTGTTTTGCCTACACGGGTGTATGTGCACCTTGTGTGTACCTGGTGCCCTCAGAGATCAGAAACGGGCATTGATTCCCCTGGAATTGGAGTTACAGACAGCTGTGAGCCACCATATGGGTGCCAGACACTGAATCTGGGTCCTACGCAAGAGCAACAAGTGCTTTGAATGAATGATCCATCTCTCTAGCCCCTCTTTGTCTCATTACAAACCCCAGTTCTTGATGTTTCAGTAGCTGAAGCTCTAAGCTGTGTGGTCTTTTGGAGTTTTGAGACAGGGTCTCGTGTAACCCAGACTGGCTGCCAACTTACTGTGTAGCCAAGGACTGCCTTATACTCTGGATGCACCTGCCTTTGCTTGTGAAACCCTTGCATTCCACGTGTGCATCACCATACCTGGTTTGCTTATGCGGAGATCAAACCCAAGACCTTCTGCACAACAGCTGAGCAGCAGTGCCAGCCCCTCCCACACTTAATTTCAAACATATTTAATCCCCTTTCTCAAGGCATCTATTGGCTGTGCACCCTGGAGGGTGGAAACCTTGGGCTGTAGAGACCATGTTTTAGCCCCATGGAGACCATTCCTCTCCTCCCTCTCAAGCCACTTCTGTTTGCTCTCACACTCTGGGAAAGAGACACACACGATCAGGTAAGGTGAAAGGCTAAGCTGAGGGTAGATCAGTGTTCTCTTCCTTCCACACGTCTCAGTAGGAGGCTCTCCAGGCACTTGGTGGATTCTGCATGGAAATGCCACCGTATTGAAAGGTCAGAGAAAAGTTTGCACAGGAAAAGTTTGTATGACCACTGACCTGGGGGTACTCCCGAAGAGATGGTGGACGATGTGGTCAGGCCCACACCTGCGGCGGTCACGGCAGCCACATCGATGGTGTAGGTGGTGAGAGATGACAGTCCTTGGATCTTGTACTCGAGGGTTGTGCTGTTGAGGGTGTGTGTGAGCCGAGAGTCATTCTTCCCATACACCTCCCAGGAGATCTGATAGCCTGGGAAGACAAGGGAAGAGCTGAGGCAGGCCCTCCACCAGACAGGCTGGCAGTCACCCCTCCTCCCTGAGGTGGTTTGGGACAGCAGGAGAGCACGCAGTGGTGAATGGAAGGAGACCAGGCTCTTTCTCTGTGCTCCCACAGAAAGAAGCCTCTGCTGTGCCCTGCTCCTACCACACAGAGTTCTGTGAGAGTAGGGTTCTGGGACCTCAGGAGCTGGGTGCATGGACAGGAGAGCTACAGCTCCGACTGCCAGCATACAGTGCTGTGCTTAGCTTATTCGTGTTGAATCAGGAGACATTCCAGCATGGTTCCCATCTTCATTAACAGCTGTTTTCATTACCTAGAGCCCCAAATCGGTGGCTTGCTCTAGGGTCGGTCTCTCTCTCTCTCTCTCTCTCTCTCTCTCTCTCTCTCTCTCTCTCTGTCTGTCTTTTGTGTGGTGATTGGCAGGCCACTCTTCTGGTTTTCAAAGGGAAACATTTCCTTTTACCTGGCCCTATTTTCTGTTTTGCTTTGCCTCCGAGCTTTGCCCCCCTCCTTACTGAAGATGCTGTTTTCTAGAAAAAAAAATTTAATTTTCCTCCTGTTTCTCTTCTCAGTCTGGCGGGGCCTCATGATCACAATTTATTCAGCCTCAGATTCCGTCCTGGCTTGGGGCTCAGAGAAAAAAGCCCCAACTAGTGCCTGAGTCAACCCCTTTTGAGGGGAGCTGATGGGATTAGAGGGCGCTTAAAGTGTCTGGTAAAGAGGGGACAGTGATGGAGAGAGCTCCCGGGTCCTCGGGCGAACGAAAACTGCTGAGGAAGCCAGGCTTTCCTTCTTCTCAGTCAATAAGCTCGGGGATATGGAAGCTCTAAGAGGCATCTTAGCTCCCTTTCACTCAGATGAAAGTCATAAATAAAGTTAGAAACTGCTCTTGCGGGTGAAGAGGAACTTAGAGGATGGTGCCTCGGGACTTTAATATTTTGAAAAAAAAAAATTAATGTGAGAACTCACCCCCTGCTCACTGTCCCCACAGCCATCACACAGCGTGATAACTACCAGGTACCTTTAGGGAGACTCGGATGCTGGAGGTGTAGCTGGGACAGCAAGGCAAGAAAGACCAGTGGAAGGATGCTGGGGTCACAGGAGGGATGCTGGGGCCGTGGAGGCCTTGAGGTGCCTGAGCGCCTGAATCCCACTGGCCAGGGGTGGAACAGATCTCTGGCCAAGGCACGTGGAGCATCAAGCCTCCCTACTCTGTGTAGTCTACCAGGGCATCGGGCCCTAGTCCCTGCTCCCTTCTCCCCATGGTGCTGGCAAGGGCTGTTCCCATGCTGTCTCTGGCTGCCACTTCCTATCCCCTCTTGCCCAGTGCCAAATCTTAGGCTCTCTTTCTTCACCTACTGACCATACTGCAGAGTTTCCATGGCCGGGTGCTAAGATCTGAGTACTCTGCTTCAACATCTATGGCTGGGTGCTAAAGCTGAGTACTCCACTTCAACTTCCATGGCCAGGTGCTAAGATCTGAGCACCCTCATTGGCTCTTTATGGCTAATTTGAAATTTTGAAGGAAAAAAAAATAAAAAATGCCACTTCTAGCATTTGTGACTGTCAATTTGATGAGCTCTAGAATCTCCTAGGAGACAAGTCTCTGCATGTTTGTGAAGGATTTTCTAGATTGTATTAATTGAGGTAGGAAGATATATCCTAAACATAGGTGGCACTCTCTCCTGGGCTGGGGTCTCAGACTGAATAAAAAAGGCAGAAAGCCAGCTGAGCCCCAGCATTCATCTGGCTCTGCTTCCTGACTGTGGATGCCATATGACCAGCTGCCTCACGCTGTATCCCTCCAACTCTTAGCCAAATTTGTTTATTGTCAGGTCCCAGCAAGGAGAAAAGTAGCCAATGCAGCATCAAATAATGTGTTGCCCTAGAGTTGTAACTATTTTCTTGTTTTTGACTTATTTTATTTTATTTTGAGACAGATCCCAGCATGCATCCCAGCCTTGCCCTGAACTCACAGAGATTCACTTGGTTGGCTCTGCCTCCCTAATGCTAGGATTAAAGTTGTGTGCTACCATGCTGGGCCTTTTCTCTATGCAATGACTGACAGACCAAGGGCAGGTCAGCATTAGGGCATCCAACATTAGTGTTGTGAGGAGCAGCGGCAGGGAGGGGCGCTAGAGACTAGGGCCTGAGAGGCCATGTGATCCCATGTGGGGTTGGGAGATTCAGGGCTCTCCTGTGGCTGAGGCTAGGACCCTATTCTGCTACTGGGCCAGTGAATTCCAGAGGGAGAGGCTGTTTCAAGCATGTTACCTGGGCTAAACCATGCAACCCACAGGACACACACTTGATACTGAGATGCTGTTTATCTTCACTTTACAAAGAAAGAAATAAACAAGGAGCCCCAGGAACTTGCTAGAAACCAACAGCCCTGCTCGAGGGCCATCTTCTCCATCTGTGTCTGAACGGATTCCAACGCCACCCCTGGCTCTGGTGGGTTTTTTCCTGATTAATCTTTAAACAGTGTGAGATTCTGGGTCACTCCGAGGGCCCGGGAAGAAGAAGCTTTGTTGAATGTTGCCACCTCGTCTGCCAAGAAATTCTATTTGTTTAAAAGCTGTTCTTTAGCAAAATTTACCAAACACGGCATCTTGTTCATCACGTCAACCTGGAGCCAAAACACAGCAATTTCTGTGTCTTCAGTAAGCACAGCGCTGTTGTTGTGCGCTCAAGTCCAAATGGATCACACTGTATGCTCAACTCATTGCGGATACAAATGGACACCAACGGACAAGCGAAAAGCCGGGGCCAGGGAGGGGGCTCAGTCGATAAAGTGCTTGCAAGGGTTTGATCTCCCAGAACCTACATTTCAAAAGCCAGGTGTGGTGGTACAGGCTTGTAATGCCAGTGCTGGGGAGATGGAGACAGGCACATAGATCCCTTGGGCACATCAGCCTACCAGCTTAGCCTAATACGTGAGCACCAGGCCAAGTCTCAAAAATCAAGGTGGGTAGTGCTTGGGGATCAACATCTGAGGTTGACTTCTGGTTTTCATCTGCGCCCACATCTGCACACATATGCAAACCCACCCCCTACCCACCTAACACATACACAGCGTACTCTGCTCTGGAGGGCAGAAGATTAGTTTCAGCAAAGAGAAAGCCCTGGCTGGGAACTTCCAATGAACGGTATAATGGGATATTGCCACAGGACAGAGACCCGGACATTTGGTGTGTAAGGATGTCTGTCTCCCTTCTACTTACACACAGCCTTGGAGATCTGGGTGGTGGATGCCGGCAGCTGGGGCCAGCAAGCACTTCATCTAACTTCGGCTTGTGGCAGGAGGGAGCAGAGTGAGGAGTTGCCTAGAGCCAGCATTCCCAGCCACCTCCAGCTCTGCATCTTACCTGCTGGGAACGGCCCTGCTAACTGAGACTAACGACCACAGGAGCTTCAGAAATAATTTTCTGTTGATCTGGAGTAAATTCTCTACCAGAGAGTAGTGCATCCAATCACAGGCTGTCTGTCTGCATCCCGGCCCTCATAAATCAGGGTTTAGTGGGGGAAGAGTGGGAGACACTGCAGTTTACAACAAGAGCACAATGGGCAATTTACGGAGGCAGGTGCACGCCGCCCTTGCTTGGAGCTTCCTTCTCGTCCTGGCCAAAAAATAAAATGGAGACATGGAATGGGGGTGGTCACCAAGGGCCAGGCTGATAAGGCATCATCTCCAACGGACACCCCACCATAAAGGTCACATTGCCTGGGACTAAACACACACACATTGCCTTTGGCTGTGTGTGCCTCCTGCAGCTGCCTTCAGCAATGGGAGTTCTACACAAGATGTCTTTGAAGGAGGAGGTGCATGCTACCATTGCCTGACCTAGGCTCAGAAGGCCAGGTTTGTCTCTGCAAGCAGTCTTCTTCTCCTTCTCCTCCTCCTTTTCCCCCTCCTCCTCCCCACCCCTTCTCTGTGTGTGTAGGCCAGAGGTCAATGTTTTCAATCCCTTTCCACTATAAGTATTGAGATGGTGCATCTTACTGAGCCCAGAGTTCGTTGATTCTGTGAGATCTGTCTGTCTCCATGTTCTTGGTGCTGGGGATACAGGTGTGTTCTGTGTGTCTGACTTTTACATGGACTCTGGGGAAATTAGGTTCACATGCACGCGCTTTACAGACTGAACCATCTCCTGCACAACGTTGACCTTCTGGGGACTGCTGGATTGTCCTAGGGAAGATTCACGGCTTTTTTTTTTTTTGGGGGGGGGTTGCTGTGCCTGTCATCAGGCAGTGTTGGAGTGCTGAGTGAGTGACATTGAAGGTGGGTGTCACAGGGGAATTCGGGCTGCATCCAGCTAATGACACTGTCATTTGGTCTCTAGAGCTTCTCAGAGCAGCAGGCATCGCCCCCAGCTTCTGCAAACACATGTTTTTACAGCGTGAGCAAGAGTGGAGAGATGCACAGGCTGGACAGTGAGGAGAGGACAACTTTGGTCCTGATATGAAGGACAGAGTCCGCCCGAAGCTCTGCTAGCAGCAGGGCGGCCTCTTTACTCAGCCGAGGCCATGGTGGAAGCAGGCCAGCAGAATCCAACTGGGAGACATCCGAGCTCTGAGGGTCAAGCTCTATCATAAACACTAGCTAGCCGCTTGTGACTACAGGTATTTGTTTAAATAAAGTATGAAAATGAGTTCATTAGGCCCCATTAGCTGGCGAGAGCAGATGATCATAAATTGGAGGTCCTGGCAACTAGCTTTCAGCCATGGAATGTTGGCTCAGCTCCCCTGGTCTCCCCTCAAGCTATAAAACAAGAATGAAGTATGGGGCCAGTTTGGAAGGAGTGTGGGAGTTCAGGAGGGGTAGGGGGTGCAGATCTGGGACAGGGGAAGCCCAGCTGGGTTAGGATGCCTATGAAGAGTCTTGGACAGTTTCTAGAACACAGTACACGCCTTGAGGCCATTTGGACAGGCAAGACTGCCTGCCCCTCTCATTCTGCAGCCTCCTTTCCAGATCTGAGCCGGACAGACTTCCTTTCTGGGGCTGTAGAGATGGCTTGGTGAGTTAAATGCTTGCTACACACACATGAGGACTTAAGTTTGGTCCCCAGTACCCGTGTAAGAAGTGTGGTATCTGTTTGTAATCCTGGTATTGGGGAGATGGAGGTGAGCAGATCCCAGGGCTCACTGGCCAGCCCGTCTAGTTGGCTTGCTGAGTTCTAGGCCAATGAGAGATCCTGTTTTAAAAAACAAAGTGTATCATGCCTGGGGAAAGACAACTGAGGATGTCTTCTGGCCTCCACACACATGTGCACACACATACCACAGAGCTCCTATTACACAGATGTACCATCATCTCTGTTACATTTGTTTCTGCCCTCTGTGTGACATAAAGATATATTAACCTACATCAGGTCTCTGCTGTCTACCCAGTCCCTGTCTGTCCCCTCTGGTTGGCTTCCTTCTGCTCTAAGCTCAGGGAAACATTCTTATTTACATGTTCTGTATCTGCTGTCTTGTACTGGGTAGCCATCCACAACAGACCTGGGCTTTGATGCCCTACCCCAGTAGCAGCCGTCTCTGGTCCCGCAGTGAGGACACTGTCCAGTACAGGCGGAATCAGATGGACAGGTGCGTGCATGTCACTCAACAGCTAGGGTCTGAGGTGGGGTTAGCTCCAAGGCCCTATGTGTGATCCGTGAACCACTGTGAGAGGCTGGGAGACACAGCTGATCACAGAATATCCCATCCTGAGTAGTGTCTAGGCTGGTTGCCAGGGTCACTGCTGAGACCTCCCAGTGGTAATGGCCCTGTTGCTGGGACAGTCTGGAACATTCCTTGCCTATTCCTACCTCATGAGCCAGCTTGAGAAAGTTGTTTCAAGACCATGGTGAGCCACACACCTGTGGACACATCTTATCTGGGCACAGCAGAGATCTGGGCAGGGCTCTGACTACAAAAAGACAGATGATATGGCCAAACTCTTAGGGGAGGAAGGGAGGTGGCCGAACCCATGGGGATCCATGGACTGAGCAGCAGGGTGGTACCCAGGCAGTGGCCAGAGCACACTGCACACATGCTTTTTTTTTTTTTTTTAAAAAAAAAAAAAAAAAAAACTTTGTATGTGTTAGTGTTTGCAGATGTGCATACATCTGTATGCAATGTGTTATGTTGATAAAGGTCTCTCAATAGCCTTTATCTAGCCAATTAAACTAGGTTCGCTGGCCAGAAAGCCCCAAGGATCTACCTGTCTATTTCCCCAACACTGAGGTTACAAATACATGTAATACAAATACCACATCTGGCTTTCTAAAATAGGTTCTGGGAACTGAACTCATGTCCTCACTGATTGAGGCATCTCCCCAGCCCCATAGGTGTTATTATTAAATGTGTTATTTTTACATTTTTCCATGCACACAGATTGAAGTCATTTGGACTTAACATACAGCACTGCTAGGTATTTCTTTGGCCCTGCGCTTTAGGAAACCCAATGAGGGCCATGGATGGGGGAGGTGGGGACCTTCCAGGTTGACTAGAAGTGCAGCTTGCACCTTACTCCCAGCATGTGATGATACAGAGATGGGAAAGCAGTTACAGAGGCCACTTCTGAGCTGTGCAATCATGGGGACCTCCACCCCCAGAGTCCTTGCTGCCCAGTTGGGGTAGAGGACATGAGCAATCATAGAGCATGACAAGTAGCATGTTGCCGTGGTGAGGAGCCTGACACTGGGAAGTGTTCAGAGCGGCCACTGCTACTGTCCAGGATACTCACAGGGGGAGGGGCCCACAGCACAGCCTGATGGCAGCCACAGGTCACCTCGCCTATCTTATCTCCATATGGCATGTCTGCACAGTTCTCGGCACAGCTCAATGGAAGAACACGAATTTCCTTCAGCAACTTTTGGGAAACCCAGGGATTATTTACTGCCTAGCATTTGGGAGGCCCTAGCTTCAATCCATTGTGCCACATAAAGAAACAACCAAACATCAAGAGTCTTGTGAAGGTGAGCTGTTCCCCAAGGCCCCTCCCATCTAGGGAAGGGTTTACTGTGAAGGGCCGGCCAGTCATGCACAGTTTACCCTGAGCTCGACTCATCGAGATCCAGGGGGCCAGGGACCCCTTTGAGTCCAGGCTCTTCATCCCCACAGCACTTCCATAACCTTAGGTTTCCCACTCCTGTGTGGTGGGGCAGGAGCTGATCTGGGATTTGGAGCCAGGAGATCAGGGCCTTGTCCTGGCCTTGCACCTCACGACAGAAGGTGGAGGGTGGAGATGTCAGCACTGTCGTCACTGCCCTACTAGGAGAGCATTAGATATTGACCTGCACACAGTAGGTGTGTTTGCCGAATACAGGCTCTTCCAGCCTCAGTTTCCTTACCTATAACATGGCCAGAATATCAGTACGGTTCTACATTGCTATGAGAACTGAGCTAAATACACAAGAAAAGGTACAAAGACAAGAGAGAGAGAGAGAGAGAGAGAGAGAGAGAGAGAGAGAGAGAGAGAGAGAGAGACTGATTCTGGTTTCCCAAAAAGAATTGTGCAGCATCTGAAGCAGAGGCTCAACTCCCAGCTCTGAGGCTGCTGTCTGCACAAGGAGATAAGCCACACCTCCTACATGTCCCCGGCCTCAGGGTAATGACCACCACACATCCAGGAAGACATGTCAGTTACTCCCGGAACTAGGTCCACTCTTAGTAGCTTGTTTGACATTGGAGGCCACCCCTTCTTGTTAGGGCACACTTCCCATGTTTCTTTCCAGACAAAAAGGCTGCTTACCCATAATGATGCCGTTTCTCTCCAGGGGCTCCTGCCAGCTGACCTTGAGAGAGGTGTCCAGAATCTCCGTGAAGCTCAGGTGCCCCACAGCTCCCGGTTCTACCAATTAAAAATAAAGACACCTGTTAACACTAGGGCCTGCTGTTCTTTGATCAGACCGGTGTGGACAGCTTTAACTGCAGAACGGAAGTGGTGAGACGGGCCAGCAGAAGCTGTAGGGAAGAATCGCCAGGAGGCGCACAGCCCGGACGAGGGGCCGGGTGCTGAGGTGAGCTCTCTGTTCTTGAGTGTGTTATTTTGCCAGCTCCACGCAGACACACAAGTGAGGTGAAGAAAGTGGCCACAGGAAATTCAGGCACAGCTTCTGTTTTTCTCCCTGATCCAATCCAGTAGAATAATCTGCATGGTTGGACCTGAAAATCAATTGCTTTCTAGAATCTTCCATTAAGGGGATGCGGTGTGGCTCTGTAGTAGAATAACCTGCCTAGAAGTCCCCAGTGAGGGGCTTGGCTTTGCAAGAATACTTGACTAGAATCTCCCAGTGAGAAGAGCCAGGAGTCTTGCTTTTATGGCACTCATATACCTTATGAAGCCAGAAATGGAGCCTAGGGCCAAGGGTAGGTAGTGCCTGTTCACCCAACCCAGAGGTCTAGTTTCTTTTCTCTTTCCTTCTTTCCTTCTTTCTTTCTTTCTTTCTTTCTTTCTTTCTTTCTTTCTTTCTTTCTTTCTTTCTTTCTTTCTTTCTTTCTTTCTTTCTTTCTTTCCTTCTTT